CACTCTAAATTTGGAGCTATATTCTTTGTTTTTGAAATATTGTTATTGTGCCATTTAGCTTCGTCTCAGTGGACAAAAATATTAAATCACAGTAATTTTCCTGAGTATAAATTTAGATTGAGAGAACCACATCTTTGTGATAAAGCCGTTCAACAGGTTTATTTATTACTTATTTAGTTAAAATAATAAAGTTTTGGTTATTAATTAGTACAAAAATTTTGAATATTAGTATTCAGGATATATTGATGTTAAAGACAAACATTTATTTTTTTGGTTTTTCGAATCGAGAAGTAACCCTCAAGAAGATCCAATCGTTCTTTGGGTATGTAATCGCAACAACTTACTATACTTTCATTTATTAGATCATTAATTGAAAATTCAAATTCTTAAATAGCACAACGGTGGTCCAGGGTATGATATTTTTTAAACTTTATTTATAACAATATAGAGGGTGTATATTTCTCAAAATTATGTAGCTGTGCAACATAGTCGTGATAAAACCAGGAACATAATACAGTTGAAGTCTTTTGGTATTCATGTACTATAACATGGAAATCCGTTGCTATGACGGGTAGGCTTAGTGTTTAAAACAAAAACAAAAATTACTTGCATAAATATATATTTATATATATATTTATATATATTTTTTGGTCAATTTTTTTAAAAATTTTAAAGGTAAAATTCTGAAACATTCTTTTTACTAATTTAAGACATTTTACTAATAATGGAAATCATCCAAATATAATTACAGGATCGTGAGACATTCACGTGTCAAATAATGATGCACCTTCTACTGTGGAACGATTGGTTAGACATAGTATAGACTATGTCCAACCAATCGTTCCACATTAGGAAGTGTGTCGCTATTGACACGCGAATGTCTCAAAATCCTGTGATTAGATTTGGATGATTTTGGGCTTGTTAGAATAGATCAATATATCAAAAGCTATTATTACAAAAATAATTAAAAATATTATATATTGTCGTAAATTTTTGCTTACACGAATTAACCTAACGAAGCAAAGAAAGTGAAAAACGCGTCAAATACAAGAGACAGATATCTAAATTTATCTTGGTGTATCAAGTAAAAAAGTTAGGGAGATGTTTTTACCTATAACACCCGCCTTAATAATAACCTATACTGACTATAATCTTAATGTTAATTAAATACACCCAATAATCCAGTGATGTGCAGTAACTATCCCCCATAACGAGTAACCTTATGTCAAGCAAGTTCTGGGTTGAAGATCAACCCAAACTTGTAGATCGGAGCAGGTAAAATAAACAAACGTTAAAAACGTTAAAAATTGCAAAAAATTGAAAATAACACAAAATTTTACTAAGGCAACTAATTTTCAGATTTTTAAGCAAAAGTTTCGATATGAAATTACATTCTAGAACTAAGTTTTTGGGCCGGAGGTTCGGAACTTGCTTGACGTAAGAATACTCCTTGTGCCCATCAGGGACACGGAAATTATGCGATTTGTTTTAGTGCGATTCTTGACAAACCACACTAAATCGCATAATTACTAATTATTACATATTAATTTTTGTGTAACTGATAGCTCGCAACGAATCCAAATCACATCAAATCACACTAAATCACATAAATTCCGTGTCCCTAGTGCCCATGTAATGATTTTGAAGCACACTCCGTGCTACCAACCTTCAATAGCATTAATATTTAATCAATCAGAAAATTTTGAGTCACGTACATCCTCATATTCATATTGTTACCTCATCATTACTTAAATTTTAATTACATATAATAGGAGTTCTTCTATAAAGGGTTTATACTTTCTAGTTGGTCCTTGCTTTGTTAACATAGGAGGAAATGATACAGCTCTTAATCCTTACTCATGGAATAATAACTCTAGCATGATTTTCTTAGATCAAGTATTAAAAAGATTTTTTTTGCTATTTTTAACATTAAGGTAAATACAGGTATTATGGGCGAAATTAATGTTTTTACTAAGTGGTCCATAAAAGCTTTTGCCCTTTATGGACTTTATTTGATTAAATGTAGGTCTTAACTCACCTTCCAATTACGAAAATAACCCGTTATTTTATGTAAATTACGTGATGTTACTTAGTAAACTACAATTCTTAATTAATGAGGGTAAGTGGTAAACGGAAATCAAGATACGAAATTGATGTTAATCGATATACTATGATTAGTTCCTATGATTTATTTTCTTTAGTAGCAAATAGTCGTTTTACACAAACTTAGTTTTTTTTTTTTACTAAACAAATTGGACTTCATCCATTAATTTGTTCAAAAGATTGTCTTTTATTTATCTTCAATTTTTGATAAAGTATCGGAAACTTTATTAATAGTCTTTTTCGTTATATATTTTTGGTACAAAAATTAATTTCTGTGCCAAAACGTACAATGAAAATTTTATCGAAAAAGGTTGCCAATACTTTATTAAAACTTGAAGCTTTACTTTGTAAGTAAAGTCTGACTTGTTTAGTAAAAAATCATATTGTTTTGTAATATATTCAATTCGCCATTTTATCCACATTCACTATAATACCCACATTTACCTTATGTATTTATAATTATTAACAATACGTAAAATTATCTGTATAGCCAATTGATACAGGTTATTCTTACGGTGATGCTGATGTATCTAATTCTTTCACTGCTGCACATGATGTATACGTATTTTTACAAATCTTTTTCCAAGAGTTCCGCCAATACGCCAATTTAGATTTCCATATTTCCGGTATATCGTAAGCATTGTTAATATTATAAATATTGTTATCATTGTTAATATTATTCAAGAAAATTGCAAAATAATTAAAATCATTTGTATTATTATTAACAGGTACGCAGGACATTTCGTAATCGCCATAGCCTCAGATATAAACAAATATAATAATGTCGATAATTCCATAAAGAATCATATTCATATTAATCTTAAATCCATTTTGATTGGAAATGCTCTAGTAAACGCTCCTGTGCAATATAAATATTATCCAGACATGGCCTGTGATTCATCTTATGGACCAGTAGTAGATGATTCTGGATGTAATCAGATGAGAAGATATTATATTCAATGTATTAAATTGACTAAAACATGCTACGATTCAAAAAATGTAACAGATTGCGTAACCGCTGAAAATTGTTTTGAAAGAATGGCCCTACCTTATTGGAATACCCATAGAAGTTTTTTTGATATAAGAAAATATCGTATTACTGATGACAGTGATTCATGTTATTATCCAGAACTCCATGATATCGCGAAATATTCTAATCGTGAAGATGTTAAGACCGAATTGGGTGTTAATCCTTCGTTGGTCTTTCATCTTTATAAAAAAAATATTTATTATAAATTCTTTTATTCTGGTGATTTGTAAGCAATCTAAATTAATCAATTAATATAAATTAATTTAAATTGATGATTTTGTTTTCAATTATATATATATATTTTTTTTTTAGAATACAACGTTTCGACATATACGTTCCATCGCTCTTGGAAAGCAAAATTCGAATATTAGTATACGCTGGTAATTTTATAAATAAGTTATTTTTAAGATTTTCTATTTTATATTTAATTTATCATAAATTATTTTATAGGTGATGTTGACTTGCTTTGTAATTGGTTTGGTAAGCACTTGCTATTAAATTTATATAATGTATATTTTTATTATAATGTCATGAAGCAATTGCAAATCTCTTTAGTAAAATAATCTGCTTCATTAATAAAATTTTTCTTTAAATTTATTATATCGAGAGTTGCAATAAATTCATTAGAATGAAAAGCCTTATATAAACTAGCTTTGAGCTTTATTGTATCACAATTTAATTAATAATAATTTTTTATCTAGGTTGTGAAGCGTGGACAAAAGCACTTAAATGGAGCGGCACCAAAGGTTTTAATAATGCTAATGTTACTCGTTGGATAACAACTTATGGTACTTATTCTGGAGATGTTAGAACATTTAAAGGACTTACATTCCTGGGAGTTTTTAAAGCAGGTCATTATGTAACTCATGATCAACCAATTGCAAGCTTCGATTTCTTTAATAAATGGATATTCAATAAGGATTTGTAAATATGTAAATCTATTGTTTGGATCCGGATAATCTGTTTATGTATAAGATTTTGGGTATACAATGAACAAAATTTTTGGCACTTTTGTATATCCAATATTGATGTTATTGTTTATATTATGTTAACATGTGAAATTTTCTGTTGACATTTTGCATAAATGATTGGTGTGTTACTAATCAGTTTGATCACAAACTTAGAGCAAGACATATAGTAAAAATCATTAGTGAAGATTTTTTTGAAATTGATTTTAAAATTCTCGATTTATAATAAATTATTAATAAAAAATGTCTTCGCGCAAACTTTAATAACTTATGCTATATTGATTTTTTTTTAATTTCGCAAGTTAATTTTTATTCTTTAAGAGTGCCTCTATTAAGTAGTTACCGTATATTTTAAGGAGATTATTTTTTATACCCCACAGATTTATTATTCGTACCCCCTGCAGATTTACTTTTTTTAAACTTTGAGTAAAGATATCTTAGTGAATACCAAGCCAAATTCAATAA